TTTTTGTATAATCTATACAAATAAAAAAAATATAAGTCGTTGAGTATTTTTTTAAATTATAAATAATTGACTATTTTATTTATGTTCGAGTTAATATCGACCGTAACTTATGAATATTTTTCTTTCCCGAAATGGTAGAGGTACTATATTAACTTATGAATAATTACTTATTGAATTTTACATTTGAAATTCAAATTTGGACTATAACAAATTCCTTTACATATATATAGGATGTGGTTCAAATGAGAACCAAGTCCTAACGTGAGAACCGTGAGAACCACTATTTTAGTTGTATGTAGTATTATGGTTGATTGTGTTTTAGTTATATTTTTTAAACAGGATATATTTTATTAAAAATAGCAATAAAATTTTTATTAGCATTTGTAGAAATGATATCACCATGCAATATTAAAAATAGCATCATACACAATTAAAAATAGCATCAAATATGGTTCTCACGGTTCTCATACTAGACCTAGTTTTTATTTGAACCAACCCATATGTATATATATATTGTCTCGCAATTTTCTAGATTTGTTGTCGGTTACATTATCGTTCAAATTTACGAACTAAAACTCTAAAATTAAATTACAATTTTTTTATTAACTAATATGTGTTAAAAAATCTTTCAAATAGGCAATAGGAATGCATACCAACTTGTCTAATTATCATCAATATCTTATTACAAGTTATAATGAGAATAAGCTAAAAATCATATCGCCTTGCTTTTATAACAAACAAATATATGTTATGGACAAAAAAGTATCGTTAGTGCGAACGTTAGGTTCTTAGAAGAAGACTATGTTATGGACCATATGTCTACTAGTAGACATGTCCTAGAGGAGATAAAAGGGGTTGATGCTTTAATACCGAGTGTACCTGATGTTACACCACAAAATACTGCAACATCTATATATCACTGACGATGAACCTGTGCCGACAGTACCTCGTTGTAGTGGGAGGGTTGTCCGGCAGCCTGATCGATTCATGTTTCTGGGAGAGTCTTCTGAGACCATCCCGGATGGACTTGACATCGACCCATGGACATATGATGAGACACTCCAAGATCTGGATGCAGTATCTTGGAAAAATGCGATGGAAGCTGAGGTAGGGTCAATGGACTCAAATCAGGTATGAGATCTTGTAGAGCCACCGAGTGGGATTCGAGCCATTGGATGCAAGTGAGTCTATAGTAGAAAGAGAGGATCATATGGGGAGGTTGAGACCTTCGAAGCTAGGCTTGTTGCAGAAAGGTATACTCATAAAGAAGGGATCGATTATAAGAAAACCTTTTCGCCGGTAGCCATGCTCAAATCCATCAGGATTCTCTTAGTTGTAGCCGCTCATATGGATTATGAGGTCTGAAAAATGGATGTTAAGATCGCTTTCCTTCATGAGAATTTAGACTAGGACATCTACATGCAACAACCAGAAGAATTAATTGCAAAAAGACAAGAGCATCTGGTCTGTAAAATGAAACGGTCCATTTATGGCTTGAAGCAAGGTTCGAGATATTCGAACATTCATTTTGACGAGGTTGTCCAATCGTATGGATTTGCCCAATGTCCTGATGAACACGGTGTGTACAAGAAAAGTGCTGGAAACGTGGTGGTGTTTCTTGTGCTATACATAGATGACATTCTTTTAATTGAAAACAGTGTTAAGAAGTTATCAGACGTAAAGGTATGGTTATCCAAGCAGTTTGATATGAAGGATTTGGTAGAAGCAGCACACATTCATGGGATCAAGGTCATTCGAGATCGATAGAAGAGAATGTTGTGTATGTCTCAATCCACATACATAGTCACTGTCTTGGCCCGTTTCAATATGCATGATTCAGAAAAGGGCCATTGCCCTATATACATTGAATCCCTCTGTCTAAGAAGATGTTTCCCAAAACACCTCAAGAGATAGAGGACATGAATGTAGTTCCTTATGCATCGGCAGTAGGAAGCCTTATGTATGCAACGTTGTGTACGCGGTCAGATATCTGTTATGCCGTGGGCATGGTAGCTAGATATCAAAGTAATCCAGGACCGGAGCATTGACCTGTGGTAAAGCATATACTCAAGTAGCTTAGAAGGACTAAAGAGTATGTGTTAGATTACCAAGCAGATGAGTTACTCCCATTGGGTTACACTAATTTTGATTTCCTATCAGCCTAGGATGAAAGTAAATCAACCTCTGGGTTTGTGTTTACTCTAGAAGGAGGAGCCATAGTTTGGAAAATGGTCAAGCAAAAGTGCGTGGCAAACTTCTGTTAGTGTTATATACTGAAAGCTTGGCTTTGCAGGATATTACACATTTACCCTTTATGAATGAGAATCATGTTAGATTAAACAAGTTCTATGTTCTGTTGTTCTGCACTTAGATAGGGTGGGTCGTCATCGGGCGAACCGAAGATCACTCTGTCAGTTACTTGCGAACAAGAATAGTTGTTCACAACCTAGATGGACATGAACACCCCATCCGAACGGTTGTAGTGTCAACTGTACAGTTTGTCTTGACTGATTAGTTGCGCTAGTACATTTATGTATTGAACAGGATCCCAGAGAGGAGAAGTACATTTTATACTGATCGTTGTAAATGAACTAGGCCTCGGTTAATTACTGCATTCTCTTAACCCGTAAGATATTAAACAGACAGATATATATAATAAATATTACTTTGATTCACATGGGTGAGGTTCAGTTCGCTGGATTAATATTCCTACTGTTTTGGGTAATATTATTATATATAGGATGTACTGTTAGGATATTTACGGTCACCATGTGCGTTAGTTTGATGATGTCCCCAGAGTGAGTTCATGAAGGATTGTTATGCTAAACCCTACAGGTGGATTAAGTTCCGGCATAATAAGAATGTGATGAACGAGCGCTAGCTTCAGTGAAATAATAATAAATTAATTAATTCTTGATTGTCAGTAATCGAATTAATTAATGGACATTATATCTTAAACGTGGGGAGGTAAATCGAGTAATTATTATTGGAGTCTCAAATGTAATTTGGGCTAGGAAGAGGAAGTGCAATAATATAATGTTGGTGGCCCATTAATATTATTTAATTAATTAGAGGAGTGGGCTTGGCCCACAGTTAGTCTAATTAATTAAGGAGCCCTTTTCCTAATCTCCTTAGGGTCCCTACTGTAGCTCTATATATACATCATTAAGCTCATGAGAAGAGAACAGAAGTCTCATTCACACGAGATACACGCCTCAGACGCCTCTCTCTCTCTAGATCTCATTCGAGCTTTATCTTCTTCTTGTTGCTCCACTGGTACAAGTTGAAGGGTATATTGAGTAATACAGTAGAAGATCTGTAGGTAAACCGAGACGAAATAGATTTTGACCTACAGAACTAACTGGAAGTCCGATTGAGACGTAAAGTATACTCAGACGACCGTCTCGACGAGAGCTTTCCATCGCCGCCGACGTAGCCGGAAACCGACACCCCACGCGCCCTCACGCGCTGCCGGAAGGAGCCTGACTGCAAAAACTCGTTTTGATCTGTTTGCATCCGTTTGATCCGATTTTGATCTGATCTTGTTCGTGCAACCAAAGACGTGATTTGCGGTCAATCAATTGCAGTCAACCGTTCGTGGTCAGCCAGATCTACATAAATTTTAAGCCGTGGGTTCTCTACGTCAAACCTTTAGATCTGCTGCGCATAGGTTTACGTTTGCTATTGAATTCGTGATTTGTACATAACGAGATCCTCACAGATCCCAACAACTTCACCATGGAAGCCGAATATGTCGCAGCCTCAGAGGCAACAAAGCAAGTGGTGTGGCTTAGAAATTTCCTGTTAGATATTGACGCGATGCCGAGTTTGCCCACTGCAATCACGGTTTTATGTGACAACAACGGAAAATTAACAAACTCGAAGGAACCACGAACTCATAAAGCGACTAAGCATATAGAATGCAAGTACCACATGATACGAGAAATCATTGGACGAGGAGAATTTGTTGTTGCCAAGATACAATTAGAGGACAACTTAGCAAATCCTTTTACGAAGAGCGTATCGGTGAAGGTATTTGACCGACACGTAAAAGGAATGAGAGTCAGGCGTAGGGCGACTTGATAGTCTAGTCTTTGAGAATTAGATTGAAAGAGTTATACTTAATAATAGCCGAAATCTTTATAGAGTACAAGTGAGAGATTGTTATGGTATACTGTAAAAGCTATTTTGAGTTAATTAGAGTACCATTTTGATCTGACATTCATGTTTTAGTCAATTATTTATGTTTGCAATTTTTTTATTAATGCGAGCATAAATTATTTACAGTCACTATGTCTCAATCGTCCGGGTTGATGACGTCCCCAAAATGAGCTCAGGAATGAATATTATGTTAACCTCTGCAGGCGGATTAATTTTCAACATAATGAAAGGAACTGAGTGTACTAATTTCGGATCATGCGGGAAAAGAAAATTGATTAATTTTATTGTCAGTAATTTAATTAATCAATGGACATTATATCTTAAACATAGGGATGGTAAATCGATTAATTAAATTAATATTATTAATTAAGTAGGAAGTTCGAATTTATTGAATAAATTGGAGCTAAATGAGGAGATCAATAATATTACTCTAATGAAATGTTTTATTATTTAATTCAATTAGGAGAAATGAATTAATTTATTCTCTATTATTAATTTCCTCATTAGAAGTATATAATTACTTCTAGCATATTATCAACGGCTATGAGACTTGAGAGTCTTTGGAAGGACTTAGGTCTTCTAGAAGGGTAAGGAGTTGGGGAATATCAGATTTCCTAACCCTAAATGGAAAGTCCCATATTTCGCACCTCCTTAAGGTCCCTAATGTAGCCTATAAATACACTATGTCCCAACCTTTCTTATGCATATGTGTTGGCCGAATTTTGTCTTGAAACGAGGGGAAAATTCGAACATTTATATATTGAGAGTTCGAGAGTTTCGTTTAATCGCACCACCAAGATTATTCGACGTAGGAGTATAAGGTCATACATTAGAAGATCTTAGGGTCCAATATATTTCGAGCATCCCGACGGATTTATTTCGGCGACCCTCAAGCCATGGGAAACTACCGTATCAGCCACCGTGTACCAGCCGTGCACAACGCTTCGCCGCCTCACGCGACTGCTGAGTATCTCAGCCCTCCAGCAACACGCCGCAATGAGTCGTTCACCGTAGCCGCACGCTCCCAGGTGCTCGAGTGATTCTCCGCGACCTCCCTGCGACGCCGTCCCTGTTCGCTCGCTGCCCTCTCCCGAGAACATCGCGCGCCGCAATCTTCCAGCTTCTATGAGACTTGCCATGCACGCCCCGATATCCTCAGATGCACACTGTGCATGCTAGCAGCAATGCCCGACGTGCAGAATAGTTGTGTGCAACCGACGCCAGCACGCAGACGCGCACTCCCTACCGCACGCACACACGCCTGCCGCCTGCAGCACCCGACGCGCGACCTGTTCGCAAACCCGAGACCGACGAACCTGTAGCACCCGACGTGCACGCACTCGGACCACACCCAACGCGCATCAACTCTTGGTGACCCGTGATCAACCGAGAAAGTCAAGTTCGACTGCTCAATGGACTATGCGGTTCAAACGATCTCCTACAAAAAGAAATCTACAACGACTCAGAGTCGGCAAAATTTTAAACGGTAATGTCCTAATCCTAAATATAGATTCCGCTCGTTAGGATTTAATTCGTTAAATTCAGATGTGCATATCGATGACGTTCCTAGTAGAACCCAACACTTTTATTGTTAACAGTGTTACTTTACTACTGAAGACGTTACATTTTTTGTTTATTTTACTATTAAACTCTTTCTTTTGGTTGATTTTACTATTATGCCCTTACATTAAATATGTTGATTTCAAAATAAAATTCCAATGATGGTGATCAAAACAACCACCTTTGGGTTTTAGAGAGTTACCCTCGTTGGGCTACCATGCGTTTTGTTTTAAGTTTGATTTTCTCTATTTATATTTTAATATATAACAGAAATGTAACAACTAAGTAAATAGATTCGAAACTATAAATAATACTAATAATTGAATAAATAGATTTCAAATTATAAAAATTATTAGTTAACTATCAAAGCTTATTCAAACTAAAAAATAAATAACAAAAAAAAAAAACTTAATTATTTTATCTAAAGCTTATAACAAATGATACTTGATATTATAACTTATTTTATTATCATTTATTAGAATTTAAAATAAATAAAATAAATAAACAATAAGTATTTATAATTGTTTATTACAAATTCAAAAATAAGAAATTTATAGAAATAATAAAATTTATATATTTATCGAACAAATAAAAAAATAATAAAAACCTAACTAAAACATATAAATGCAAATCATAAATAGATATTGAATATAAAAAATTTTCTTTCTAGAAATTTCTGCTTTAATAATATATCATAAATAAAAGTATCATATTATTTATATATATATTATATTATTTCAATTGTTTAATATGTATTTTAATTTTTGTATTAAAATTTATTATATATTTATATTTTTTAATTTATTTAAATGAAATTATCATTTTTATATTAAATAATAGTATTATTAATTTATAATATTGAAATTACACATTTAATACTACTCAATTTATTTTTATTTTGTTTTAATTACATTTTCTTATAGTTACTTTATTTTATTTATTTATTTATTTATTTATTTTTTTTTTTTGGTACAAAGAAAGCGGTTATTCATCAACTACATTTCGTGGATAGGAAACACCCTTCAAATCATGCTCGATCCACGGAACGACACCAGAAGGCGGAGCAGCGAGTTGGTGACACCCAAGAGCTGTCGAAGCCGCCAAAGTTGCTATATAGTCTGCCGCAAAGTTTGCCTCACGATAGATATGAGAAATCCGCACCTGTCAGTCACGACTAAGGATCTCGCGTATCCCCAGGACTAACCCATAATGGACCCCTGCTATCTCCTCAGTGTTCATAGCGAATCCCACGACTCGAGAATTGTCAACCTCAGCCTCAACCCGACGGTATCTAAGATTCCATGCCAGAGTAAGGCCTTGAAATAATCCCCATAATTCTGCCGCCATAATAGAGCATTCCCCAATCATCATCACAAAACCACCGACCCATGCACCATGGGAATCACGAAGCAACCCACCCGCCGATGCCAAACCTGAGGAACCATTATGGGCCCCATCCGAGTTCATCTTTATCCACGAGTCCGACGGTGGTTCCCAACATACAAGACGCTGGAACCGAGTAGTCCCGGTACTACCGACCTTCCTAGCCCCTTCGGCAAAGTGCAATATACTATTCACAAAGGCTCGGATTTCCCTCACCTACCCAAACGCGTCCACTTCACTACTTTGGAATACCGAAGAGTTTCGCCAGAGCCATATTTTCCACAAAGTAACGCCAAAGGTATACTCCCAAGAGTCATCGTCCACCAGGATGTGGGGTCGGTTAAAGAGGTTCGACGTGAGCCATGAGCGGAACTGTAGACAGAAGAATTTCGGCCGCGCGACCACCGGGACTAAGCGAAGCCAGACCTGGGTAGCAGCCGCGCAATCGCGGAGAACGTGCAGAAGAGTCTCCTCGTGCAGCGAACACTTATGGCAGCTCACCGTCGGGGATAAATGCCGGCGACCACGTTCAACATTCGTCATAAGACGACCCTTGAAAACCAGCCAGAGAAACTGTTTGATGCGTTGCGGGCCGGGCCATATGTTAGTGTGGTTGGAGGTATATTGTATTTTTTAGGACTGTTAGATATAGCCTATAGGAGTCTTTAGGTTTTAGGTATCTTTCTTTCTTTGTATTCGTGAAACCATTTTTTGTATGTATATACGGTCTTTGTGCATCACTGATCATCATGTTAGATGAATCACTTCCATACGATCAATTCTATTGACATGGTATCAGAGAAGATCTTCCTTTCCTATTTTTTTCTTTCCTTCTTTCTTACATAAACTAGTAAAAAAAATAAGAAGAAGATAAATATCTTTTCTTGTTCGTCCTCCTCTCCGTCATGGCTTCGTCTTCTCGTCAACGCAATTTGTTAGGTCCAACAACTCAAGTACAGTTCACCATCAAGCCCAACATACAAGCTCAAATGGGGTTTCATTATAAAATCAATTGACAATAGAAGAGCTACCCTAACAAACTTATATATTGGACTTGAAAACTTTAATTTTTCGATGTGCGATTGGTATGCACACACTACAAACATCCCTTGAAACACAAGACCACATACTTGAGCCTCCCCTTGAACGAAATCCATACGATCCGACCATCTTGTACCGCCATTATAATCCCAAAGAACACGCCGCCTGACCACCCTTTCGCTAGGAAGACTTTCGACACAAGGCAAACGAATCCACCGGTCCTCCACCGGCTCGACGGGAAACATGCCACGTCATCCACATCGCAACTGGGCTACCAATCGTGGATCTGATACCAATTGTTAGGACCAACAACTCAAGCTCAGTTCTCCATCAAATCCAACATACAAGTTCAAATGTAGTTCTATTCTACAATCAATTGGCAATAGAATGAGTAGTCCACCAAACTTATATATTGGAATTGGAACTTGTGGAAATGAATTTGAACACCCTACACAATTGGTTGTCTCATATGGCCTGGTCCAGTCCCTCGAATGATATTAGATCTATACAACTTATGACATTCAACATATATTATGTAATGAACGAATGACGAATATGTTTGATAAATAATCTTCATTGTATTTTAATAAACATAATGTTAAGAAAAAACTCTGTTTTGCATAAACTAATTGGAGGTAACAAATTAAATTATCGAGAAATAGGGCGGTAAAGCATGACTGCTTTCCTGAAATGTGATAATATAAATTATAACCTGAATATTAATCAGGATTACGTTGGAGTGAATATTATGATAACATTGTGTGTGTGTATGAAACAGTACTTCATGGAAGTCTATATCCGTAGCATTACGTTGGCGGTAAAGCACACCTAGCTAGGTGTGTCAGGGCAAATTTGCACGCGCCCTCTCACCTCAAAAAACTAAAAAATTTGAAGAGTGTAGTGCACATTCTCATTTTTCCTTTTTTAATTGAAAAATGAGACATATTACATTTTTTTAAAATAGAGACCACATTTGATAGGTTTTTAACACAACTAATTTTTTGTTTTTTCGTAATTATTTTATTATACTGACATATAATGAACATGTTACATAACAAGATGAATATGTTTTCAAATAAGATGAACATGTTACAGATTGCAGATTGAAATAATACATATTCATCTTATTTTATAACATGTTCATCTCATTTTGGTAACATATTCATCTTATTTTATAACATGTTCGCCTTATTGTGTATGTAACATGTTCATCTTATTCTATAACATGTTCATTTTATTATGTAACATGTTCATCTTATT